ACTCATGCGCATATACATATTTCCGGACATCTTAAGAGAAAGAAGTATCAAAAAGTACGTCTAACCTCCCGCGGATACTGTTTCTTATGCAGAAACTATAGCAATTGCCAGTCCATATCTATAAGGTCTATGGTTCTATGAGTATATGTTCTGTGGATGGGCCCGTCATACGTCTAATACGTCAAACATGGCGGAACTGATCGCGATTCCTTTGAAGAAACCTTCGGATGTCGATGTGGTAAAGCCGCTTACCAATGTCATCAGGTCGACATACAGTGGCACGGGCAAGGATTACGCGGACGCTATTGCGGAGTTCAGCAAATTGCGGAATAATGCTCTATGGCGTGCCTTTGAGAAATATGAGAGCTCATTACAGGTTATCTATAGGTATGAGTCATTCTTTCAATTAATATTTCGATTATGACAGCCGTGCTTTTAATACCGACTGTCATGATGTTTTAAGTGGCGAATCTTTATGTTCTCGCCGATTTTTCAGCGAGTCATTTACATCAACACACGTCCGGACTGTTGACGAATGAGATTTGATGTGTCCAATTTACCTGTACCTATTTTCCCTTTTTTCCCTCATTAGATAAAGAATCACTTAAGATAAGATTAAGAATTTAATGTCGGAAGTCTGAAGATTTTTATAAACTAAGGTTTAAAGATATAGGTAGTTAATAAAACATTATCATACATTCCTACAAATAATAAATTACAAATGAATCTTAAAAAAATTCTGAATTGTGACACAAAAAAGATTTAAAGTTAAAAAAATTAGGATCAATGAAGTAAAGTCTTATATAAAAAGGACAGATAGAGAATATTGTATATCTAGAAATATGTAGAGATATTGTATATCTAGAGATATAGAGAATATTGTAGAAAGGAATAGTATATTTGTTTATAATTGATAGGGCATTGTCAATTAAATATGTATATATATATATATGACTTTTTGAAGCTACTATGATCAGTTATGTGCTCTGGAAGGAAAAATCCCTGCTCACGAATTGCAAATACCATTCAAATGGAAAGATGCCTTTGATCGTACAATTTTTGGAGGAAAACTTAGTTTAAGTGAGTTTAAAGAATATAATTACTGATTATATATTATTTTATGCTTGAATTTCATTTCTCTTATAAAATTTGAATTATTTAAGAATTATTTGAAGCAACTAATAATAGATTGTTGATATTAAAAGTAATTTTTAAATTAAGTATGTTAGAGTTGTAAATAAGATAAGGAGATATAAATTTTACGATATATATATATATATATATATATATATATATATATATATAATCACTACATTATATTGTATTGTCATTGATATATATTTGTAACTTCTTTTTATATAGCTATTACTACATTGGCATATGAAAAAGTATGTGTACTATTCAATATTGCTGCCTTACAAAGTTCAGTGGCAGCTACACAATCCTTAGACAGTGATGAAGGACTAAAATTGTCAGCCAAATTATTTCAGGTTCGCCTTTCTTATCATTATTTTATATTTTATATATATCATCAATATTCTTTTATTATATTTTAATTAATTAATCTTTTTGTAGCAATCAGCTGGAATATTTAATTATCTGAAAGGAAACGTTATGATGGCAATTCAACAAGAACCCACACCTGATATTAGTCCAGAAACTCTTGGAGCATTGAGTGCGTTAATGCTCGCGCAAGGACAAGAAATATTTGTACACAAAGCGATACACGATTCTATGAAAGATGGCATCATTGCTAGATTAGCAGCACAAGCAGAAGAACTGTATGCAGATGCTCTGAAATTATTCCAAAAGGAAATTTTCCGTGCGTTTTGGGATAAGGAATGGGTACCATTGGTTAGTATATTAAAATAACAAACGTGCATTCTTACTTTTTATATTTGCATATTATTCTGAATATTATCATAGATCGCGGGTAAACAAGCTGGTTATCGTGCTATGGCTGAATACTATCAATCACTTGTATGCAAGAATAACAAATCGATTGGAGAAGAAATTGCCAGATTGGAGGTAATTGCAGTATCATTTAAATTGTCCATTTTGCAAATTTATAATATACAATATCTGTGAACATACAAATATATCGACGTTTGCAGCATGCTGTGGAGCTATTCAAAGCTGCTCAACAGAGATCGAATAAACCGAGTTTATTCCAAGACTATGCCAACAAAGCACAAAGAAATTTAACGGAAGTGAAAAAAGACAATGATTTTATATATCATGAAAGGATTCCAGATATCAAAAATGTAGAAGCTATAGGAAAAGCTAGTGTCGCCAAGTTGCTTCCACTACCTGAAGTATTCAGTGCTGACTTTAAAGGTTCGCAATAATGATTGATGATCACAAGAAAATACCTTCCTTCTCGTAATGTCAATTATATATTGACATATATTTGCAGATTTATTTGCCGAACTGTTGCCTCTTAATGTACGCCACGCAATGTCGGCCTATGAGAATCGCCGTAACGAGCTTGTTAATTATGAAATTTCGAATCTTCGTGAAATGACTCAACTTTTAAATAGGTATATATTTTAATAATACTGTTTTTATCATTGAATTACAAGTTTCTTGTTTATTATTTTTGTGTTTTGTACATATAGCGTTTTAGCAAGTTTGAACTTGCCAGCAGCTATAGAAGATACAAGTGGAACGGAAATACCTCAATCGCTATTGGATAAAGCAGCTCGCGTACGGGAATCGGGCGGAATAAAGGCTTTGGAAGCATCTATGAAAGAACTGCCGGATTTGCTGCAGCGTAATAAAGAACTTTTAGATGAGGTAAAAATATTGTAAAATCTTTTCTTTTTCAAGATTTTTAACATATATATATATATATATATATAATTAAATTTGTCTATTATGTCTTACAGTCTAGAAAGAATGCTGCAAGAAGAACGTGATTCCGACAATCAACTGAGAGAACAATTCAAAGAACGCTGGAAGCGAACGCCTAGTGCCCGATTGACAGAACAGTTTACTAGCAATTTACAAAAATACCGCGAAATTATCAATAATGCAGTTTCTGCTGACAAGGTAAAAACCCAAAAAGAAAAGAAAAGATAAACTTTATGAATCTATGTTTTTATAAATGCTCTGTTTGCCATATATAGGTGGTTCGTGAAAAATATGAAAACCATAAAGAAGGAATCGAGATCTTAAGTTTGGATGAGGAAGAACTTGCCCGTGCTATTCCGCAAGGTTCAGCTCTTCAAGAAAGTAATGTCGTTATACAACTCAGAAAATTAATGGAGGATGTAGGTAGAAAAAGACTCAAATATATATTGACGAATTTTATGCATATTAAATTGTTTTAAATTTTGATCATATTTTGCTTTTCTTATTAGGTAGCGACATTAAAATCTGTACGAGATACTATCGAAAACGAATTTAAATTCGCTGCCAATGATATGAAGACGACATTCCTTTCCGCATTAGCTAAAGATGGAGCAATTGATGAACCAAATATATCTGTCGAGAGCTTAGGAAAATGTTACGGGCCTTTACAAAAGCAAGTACGAGAAAGTATAGCGCAACAGGAGGAATTAATCGCTAAAATTCAGGTATATCTGAAATTATAATTAATGGATAACTATGCAAAATTGGACGAGAGAAGAGATTGTAAAAATCTACGATGGTTTTAGAGTTGCCATGCAGAATTTACAAACGAGCAAGCTGGTACCGGTAGTGCGCGAGAGGCGATGCTCTGTAAATTAGCTTCCGCTTATGATGCATTTAAAGAGCTAAAGAATAACTTAGTGGAAGGAGCTAAATTTTACAATGATCTAACACAGGTACATTTATATCATAATTATTTCCTCATTGTTACTCGCCATCGTCTAAATAATTTGTTCTTTTCGGTAGTTACTTGTGGTTTTCCAAAACAAGATATCTGACTTTTGTTTCGCTCGAAAAACTGAAAAGGAGGAACTCTTGAAAGATTTAACTACGAATCTGAGCCAAACTGGTCCTGCTGCAACACCAAATATTCCATCTCATCATAGTGGTACAGATTCTTTCACATTAAATTGATTTTATTAATATGTCTTGATTCGAATAAATATTAATTGTGTCCGAAGGTCCGTCGAGTGGAAATCAAATGGCAGAAACCGCCGCGGCGGCACCGCAACTGCCTTATCCAACTCAGTATCAAGGTGGTATGCCTATACCTTATGGTGCCTCACCGGCAACGCCGTATCCAGCGTATGTTCCTCCACCGATGCCGACGACGTACAACCCATATGCTACAATGCCATATCCTACACAAGGTACACTTTTTTTACCATCTATAATACATTTCATATATCCAAAACGTATATACAAGATCGATTTTCAGGAGGATACAATCCTTACCAAGGTATGCCTCAAGCTCCATACGGAGGTTATGCTACATTACCACGTTATGGCGGCAACCAACCACCGCATCATGGACAAAATCCATGGTGAACTACATGAGCAAGCAGTATCGGTGTATACTGCGATATTAACGTATTCATACATCTCATGCATATTTTATATATAAATTCTAAAAAAAGCAGTTAAAAATCTGCATTGGGTAACAATGTTGCATGTAATCCAAGGGAACTTGTGTTTATTACTTGTTACACGTTTCACTGTATCATGTTCTTTATCTAATACAGATCAATTGTTGATATTTAAGCTTTAAGCGCCACTTCATCTATTTGTGTAGAGGGCTTATCGATTTATAAATATATTTTGTAAAATAAGACATATAGACATTATTCTCACCTAGATTACCTTAAGAAAAACGTTTTAATGTATCGATAGAATTTCAAGCATTTTACATACTTATTCATGTACAAATGAATATACATATTTAATATTAGATCTAAAAAAAAATTTCTTTCTGTTGATGACAGATGATTATAAGAATCATATACAAGTAATTAATTTATTATAATTTTACACATCGTATATATGTATACATTACATAAATTTATACATATATATTTTTTAAGAGTTTATATATAAAATATTTAAAGCAATTTTCTAATCGTTGATTTAATTTATCTATCTTTAAGATCGAGTTTCGTCGTTATCCATTATTAATTAATCGTAAAAAACTGATTTCAATTTCGAAAAGAACTGATATTAGAAATCTCAGAAAAAATTTTCATATAGAAACATTTTAAAAACGTTTTAGCAATACAATAGATATATGTGTATATATATATACACATACAACACGGGAAAGAGGTAGAGAAGAGATGTGGAAAATAGATTCTCGTTAGAGTGTGCAACTGTAAATAACCTTATTGTATATTTTAATGATAAAATACGTGCATAAACCGATTGAAAGAGAATCAAGATATTATTATAGCATTTATTGATTTGCAAATTGATAATTGGTGATGGTATATTGATTAATATAATTGTGTTATAGTGAGCAATAGCATCCATGAAATTTTAATATTTGAACGATTAGATAATGCAGTATTAATTTCATATATTATTATATATATATATATATAATAATTATACAATATATATATATATATATATATATATATATTCATTGAAATATTATATAGTTACTTGAAACTGCACTTCTACAGTAATCTATGTGAGAAAAAGAATGTATTTTGCAAATAAATGCACCATATAAACACATAGTTATTTATAAATCTAATAATAACAAACACTGCATTGTAAACCAATCATTCAAATATTTATCGATCTTAGAGGACAGTTCTGAAAAAATTTATCCAAATTTTTAATAGTATTTCGTTGGTATCAATAATAAGCGAAACGGATAACGTGAAATGACTCAGATTAATCTTTGGAGTGCTGGCTACTTGAGCTGCTTGATCGCGAACGGCGTTTAAATTTCGCTTGACTCATGTCCGATGCATTATCGTTTCTTTTATGTTTGTTCTTATCGTAGCGGAAGTTGAAATCGTTGTCCTGATGAAAATTAGAATCATTCCGACGTCGATCGTTGCGTTTATCGTAGTGCCTGTAAGTATCTCTTCCAGGCCTGCTAGTTCTGTAAAAATCTCGCCTACGAGGAGAATAATTTCTCCGATTCCGTCTATCGCGACTTGCTCCACTACGATCGTAACCTCGCTCTCTAGATCTTCGATGATCTCTTGATCGAGAACGTCCACGTTTTCTACTTCTATCTCTGGAATCACGTCGGGAGCTTCTATCATTATAGGATCGATTGACGTCACGTTTGAACGATTTCTCATTTTTATTATGCTTAATTTCCTCTTTGTTCTGTGTAATATCATTTCCCTCCACGTTTTTCTTCGCGTTATCATCCTGCATTTTAGTTATAGTCACCATTTCGTCTATTTGATCATTCTCTTTATTTTCCATTAATTCTGTTGTGCATATATTATGGTCAACATCTGGTACTTGATCATTTTCATCTGGATTTTCTATGAATCTTTTAATTCTATCGGTTTCATGTTTGGACTCCTCTTCTTTCTTGACACGTTCTTTTTCCATTTTCTGCAATAATCACAGATAAGCAAGAAATAACAATTATGTAAGTATTAAATATAGTTTAACATATATGTACTAATATGTACCTGAAATTCATGCAATTTGATGGTACGATTTTGAGCTTGTTTCCAATGAGGTGGTGTTATACTTCTGGAACGACTCCGAGAAGGAGTATGATATCGCTGAAAATTTATTCAAAACATGCGTAATTAAAATTTATGACAAAGCCAGTAGATAGACCAGGCAATAAACAAGGTAAATCAGTGAATACAATTCAATGTTGTACTTTCACCTCTTCTAGATGTGGTTGATTAAATTATCAATTATCAATAAATGACAAATACGATTATCAATAAATGACAAATATACAGCGTGCGTGTTATTAATTATTGGTAAATCACTTACGAATATTCCTCTACCCTTGAAAACACGACCAGTTTTTCTATGAGAGCGAACACGATCTCTTCCATAATGCTGTCTAAATTCCTTCTGATTCGCATTGTTAGTGGAACCCGCTCTGTACAAGAATTTATTTGCTGGCACTTCTGGAATCTCATCGGGATCAATCTTGGTGACAGATACTAGCGGATGAGGTTGTTCATCTTCTTCCTCATTAGAATCCCGAATTTCACCATCTTCCGACTTTGCTCTCTTTTTACTGAAACAAAATGTTGTAATTTTAACAATAATTTGTATCTTGATATTTGCAGCTTCTTCTCATGTGCGAATATACCTTTTCTTGCTCTTCTTTTTCTTTTTTGTCTTGTCAGTGTAAGAATCAGATTCGGAATCCGCCGAACTACTTTGTTTCGCTTCTCGTTTCTTCGCTGTAAACATGTATATAATGTATCAGATTGATATTAATAATTTCTTCCAGTGTGTCTATATTTTTGAAAAAAACAAAGTGCTTATACCTTTACTTTTGAGCTTCAGGACTAATTCGCCACAGTTCACAACCTTAGCATCTTGCAATGGACGTGACATTCGGTCTACTGGAAGTCCTTCAATATGCGTAACGATCTCTTGCCCAGACACTACTTCTCCAAAAACCACATGGACACTAAAAATATATAGGATATTTGCATATAGACAAACGAGCAATTGAATATACAAAATAGTTTTATTTAATTTATTATTAATTCTTTTTATTTACCTATTAACTATCTATAGAATAAACTTGATATCAATTGATCAAACTATAACTATTTACTTACTTGTCGAGGTGAGGCGCTGGTTGTGTTGTACTACAACAACAAAATATGATTAAGGGGATGAGAGATGAACAGAAAGAGCCAGAGCTTTCATTGGTCATTGTGTTGTAGTAGTGGTGTGCAGACCCTTCCCTCACGACTACGCAAAAACATTGCTAAGTTATTCATTCCTCCAGAATTATTCTTACTCCTATGTTCTTTTTTCAATATCTGTGCAGTGAGTTCGAATATCATAGGAGTAATACTATATAATTGAAACTTGCTGATTTTTATCAGGCATTTGAATTTATCAATTGTCTTTTTTGACAATATACAAGATAGCCCATAATTTTTTATAACTTGGTATCTAGAAATTATTAATGATAGGAAAATTTTCAGGTAAAAGTGGAACATTTTGAGAAAGTATTTTGATTATATTGTTTTTTTCTCTAGGTAGAGGCGTTAAAAAAATATGAAGATCACCTACACTTTTCTTAAGAAATTATATGATCCTTTTTATACAACTTGATTTCTCTAATTATTCTACATATAAAAGTTAAGCTAAAGTAATCGAAAAATTCATAGTTTACGAGGTCTATTATACTTTGTTATTGCACTTACAATATCAAAATTATAACTAATTTGACTTATTCAATTTATTAAATTTAATTATTCTATTCTGATTAATTCAATTTATTAAATGTTCAAAATATCCATTATATGACTATATGACTTATAAACATTTACTTCTGGAAATATGCCATCAGAAGAGAAATGTTAGCAAGCTTTTAGCAAGATAGCGCTCCATCACATTTTACAAACAATTTTTGAATTTAAAAATAATTGAATAAATTGTAGTGGGGCAATTCAATGGCCTCTTTGATCTGTGATCTGACACCAAATTTTTTTGTTAGTATATGTGAAGGAAAAAGTTATGTTTGAATCCTCAAAAGAGAATATGAAGTAAAGAATACATTTGCGCTTTAGTAACTCTTGAAATGTTAAAATGTCAAATGTTCGAAATATCTTTTAAATTCAAACAAATATTTACAAATCCATAGTATTTAATAAATTGAATAAATCAGAAGTGTTGTAATTTTGATATCATAAGTGCAACAAAATATAAAATATTTTATAAATTATTAATTTTTCAATCACTTTATTTTAATACTTTTATTTGCAAAATTATTAGAAAAATCAAATTATGAAAAAAAAAATCATATAGTTTCATTTAAAAAAGTGGAGATGGCCTTCATTTTTTTTGGAGGTGGCCTTCATCTAGAGAAAAAAAACAATGTGACTAAAATACCCTGTCAAAATTATTGTACTTTCATCTTTTTCAATCAGTTTCAACATTTTTCTATCAATTATCAATAATTTCTGAGATATTAAATTGTAAAGAATTAGTATCATCCTATATATATCTTTATCTTGACGAAAATTAATATTCCATATCAGCTGATTTCCCATTTATATTTGTTTAAATACAAGAATTCTTTGATAAATGATTACATGTTAATATTAAACTTTACCCTTGATTTATTCAAACCATTTAGTTATCAATGGAAGGGAAAAATAAATTCAGAAAACGTTTCTCTAAAAAGAGAAATTTT